ACAGCTGAGCAATCTTAGCCAACTGCATCCGCTTGATGGGCTCTGGATGAAGCACCGCCAGAGGCCAATGCGGCCATGCGCGAGATCATGAACGGAGAGGCGAGCCTCAACTGATTCTCGCAGCTTCAGGGGCTCGGGAGAAGCGCCAATCTGGAAGTTAGCAGGGACGGTCTTTTGTAGCGGAGGCCACAGCTGCACAGATGGGGGCTTTCTTGGCCCTTCTATCGTTGCTGCCTCGTGTGCTTGGGTTCACTACAGAGCTTCATGCCCGAGTTTCCTTGTCAGTCGGATGGATCACGTTTAGGTTGGAGAAGTGCACACCGAGCATCGCCAGGGGCTAGGAAAGGCACCAGCTTCTGGTTGCACCTCGAGTGTGGGCTTTTCGAGACCTCTCCCAGGTTCATGCCCTGGCCGATGTGATGCGAAGCAACGCGTTAGCAGTGGAGGCTTCGAGAAGCGGTTTAAAATTAATGCTTTCGGGTTGCCGCGTAGTATGGGATGTGGCATTGCAGCCGCTTGCGCGCAATAGAATCCGAACACAGTGGTGGCACAGGCCGCAGAAACCCTCGGCGTCTCGATGTTTTGATTACACAGTTGCATTCGTCGCCCCTCCAAACACTTGGTCCCGTCCTTCTCCCGGTACACCAGCCGCCGAACTCTGAACACTTTCAGAATTTCTGGCAAGTACGGTGCTACGGTGTGGCTGACCATATCACACCTTTTGGTTGAGCACCAATATGGCGCCTTTCATACGCCAGCACTCGTCGTCAACGTTTTCGACCCGATGCCGCCGTTGGACCGGGGCGAGCTTGGCCTCCTGATTCAAAAAACGCGTTTGGTTGCCTAAGGCGTCGTGGGGATGGGGACGATTGCCTTTGTTTGGAAACGCTTCCGTACTCCTATCTTGCATCCGCAAGAGCCTCCGTCCTGATGGCATCATGAACTTCAGCGCCGTGGGATACCGACGAACTTCGACATCTCATCGGTGAATCAGGGCGTGATCACCCGGTCCAGAGGGTGCTGAAAGGCTAAAGAGATTGTCCTAAAGACCAGTACTCCGAAGGAGCTCGACATCACTGATTTTCCAGCCATGGAACTGATTTGTTTGCATTTTGGATTTCGTCTCGGACAGAGCGGTTGTTGTATGGGGAGATTCCAAGCATGTTTGCCTCACGAGTATGGTCCGACTACCTGTGTGGAGCTTGGTTGAAAGGTCCCGCGAGCCGCTGGGCCCATCGTTGACATTGTGGGCACTGGTGGGGATGGTCAGGCCCGCATGGTTGGAAGGGATTGTTCTAACACGCCCTCACACCCTTCTTGCTTCTCAAGGGATCTTAACACCTTTTGCGTCGAACTGCTCCAAATCACCTCAAAATTAACCTGACCTAGAATCTTATCCCAGGTTGCTCGGTGGAAGTCTTACCGAGCCTGGTCCAACGGGTGTGTAACCTATACAGGATCCAAGACGTAGCGTCATTCCAAGAGGACAGAGGCGTTTCTGACAAGTTTGTTTGCGCCAACTTCAGAAGGTTTGCTAAGCTGTTGCTCGCTTCATGACGATGTCGTTTCATCATGAACAGCTTTGAGGTGCACCTACAGAGCTTGAAGTCTTATTTACATGTGCTGTTTGTTTTTTGAGCTTGTATTCTGCAGGAGTTAGGATGTCAAGACGGTGTTTCCGGCCTCGCAAGATGTGCGTCAGGACACGTTTAACATCTCAACCGCGGCCGGCCTGGCGGCAGCTGGTGCTGGAGCTGGATGCTCAACCTGCAAGGGGTTCTTGTGTCGGGGCAGAAAATGGCATTGGCTTCCGAGGCTCGAATTGTCAAGCATGGCAACCGCGCCGCCTCCTCCAAGAGTGGCGCAGCTGACATTCTGGAGGCCTGCGCATCGCAAAGGCAGCCCATTCGGTGTCTGTGCGACTCGTAAGGCTTTGGGTGCAAAGCTCGAACTAGCGCCGGCTGAGGCCAGCCGTGCGATATTCGGAATGCTCCACCATCTCTGTAGTTTCTTCGCGTGGTTCATGCTCTCGAGATATCCCGAGATTGGAGACCACAAACCACAGGCAAACTTGTGGTGCAAATGCCAGGCATGAACTAGGGTCTTTGTTGTGGCCACCCCTCTCTCTGAGTGCTGAGACCGCCATGCCGTGGTGAACTTGGCTTGGCAAAGCCGACAGGTAGCACCAGTCCTTGCTGCCGGCAGCTTCGCTTTTCTTTTTGCCAGGCAGGTGCTGCGTCTTTCTCTCACAGTGCTTAAACTTGAAAGAACGTTGGTGGCAAGAAGACACGACTAATTAGCGTCGGCGTTGTGGTAGCCTCAGTTAATACTGCAAGCAGCAGTCTGATCCGCGAACGGAGACTGCAGACATCCCTCCATGCCTGCTCATTTCAAGCACAGAACATCAAGTCCAGTTTCCAGTGACCTGTCTGCAGGTCTTATCACCCGGCAATGCGCCACGTCGGGCCAATCCGACAGGCTGCCGTTTAAAGCAAGCTTCGTAAGTGATCTATGCGGGAGAAGGGAAAGATCTGTGTCGTGCGCAAACCGCAGTCTGGAGAGCTTAGGTTGGGAGGTACATACTGCCGAAACCTTGGTAAATGCGGTGGTGTTAGTCGCAAGACCGGGAAGGAGATGGGAATCCGGACTGCCACGAGCTCGGCGATGCTTCCTCGGCCACTCATTCCTGCGAAGAAGTTGTCTGCCAGCGACCAGCACATCAAAAAAATTGAGAGCCGGCAGTCAGATCATGCATTTAGATCGTATTCTTGAGGCTGGCTCGCACCTCGACTGAGGTGTTCAACATCTTGGGCCCTCTGACGAACCCGGCAAGACCTGATGGAATGGTGTGTGGTCCCGGCCTGAGCGACACATACTCATGATTCTGTACAGTATGATGCCTCGCTCCCTTGCCAACGATGCAGGGACTCATGGCCGTGCCCGAATTCATTGCCAGAAAACTGCAGCTTTGCGCTACAACTACGCGCCTATGGTAATCCGATGTAGGGCAGCTCGCCATCAACAATTCGAGTACCACGCAAAAAGGCGCAGAGACGATCTGAGGGAAGGTGTTCCAGACGGTCCTAAGGCGTCTTCACTGCATCGCTCGGAAGTTCCTTCGCTGAGGTCTTCAAGCTGCTAGGCGATCGGTATTTGGAAGTTTGGCCCCAAAGATGTCCTGCAGACCTCATTTGGAGCAGGAATGAAGCGTGCCCTGGTGGTCCACGGCTGCGAGGGCCTTGACGAACTTTCCATTGCCGGCCCGTCCAAGGCCCCTGGCTGGTGCTTCTGTGCAGAATCCAGAACGGGCCAGACATGTGCACGCACGTTCTCCACACGGATCCGCTTTATGACAAGATGGACCTGGCTCCATCTGACGGCGTGGGTAACTGCAAAATGAAAATATTGAGTAAATTGAGTATCATTGGCCGAGCTCTCTTGAATGCTTGCGCTGAACTGGCATGTCCCAGGTCAGCACGAAAACTGCGAGCAGCATGTGAGCACTGTGTCTTTTTGCGAAGGAAGACGACAACCAAAAGGTGATGTCAATGTGCCAAAATGCATTTTAAATTCTGCAAGACTGATCTAGGTGTGGCGAAGCTGCAAGTGCCGCCCACACACTTGTCGTTCTGTAGCGGAGGCTATGTATGACGAAGAGCATTCCGGGGACGTTTTGTTTGGGTGCTGTTTTTGACACAGGTCCTTTTGGTAGGTGCCTGATGAGGTTTCGTCGATGTTGCAGGACATTGAATGACAGACAGCTCAGAAGCATAAACCTCCGTGCTGGCCGCCCCGAGCCTTTGGAGCCCTAGGGCGGTCGCCGAAGGCGGGGCCGGCGGGGCCCACGCCAAGCCCTGGTAAAGACTCGCGAAAGCTGAAAGGCTCTAATCGCTACTCACCCAGTTCCTCTAGTGGCTGGCCGGCCGAAATTGTATTCACGCTGCTTTTCCTCGTTGGATATCGAAACACCATTCCTAAAGATGCAGTGCCAAAGTGTTGTTGTGCCGATGCAACGCTAGCAGGTCTGGGAGTTGAAGGAGACCGGTGAGATCTCTGAGTACGAAGCCCGTCCCACAGTGTCCTAAGATCTCCGATGAACCATCTTGGCAGCTTTGCGTCGAAACTGCTTTTCTGGGCCAGCACGAGGTTCGTCCCGAGGACTTCGGTGTCGCTGCACATCCCTTGTCTGAGGCAAGCTTCTTTGGATTGCCTTGGTCCTCTCCCTCCGCTCCAGTATGAAGCCCAAGATCATACCTGCCAAAACAAGCCTGGCAACCTCGTCGGTCAATAGCTCCATGGCTCTCTTTGCAGGTGGCAGGCAACAGCCCCGAGGAGAACGCAGTGGAGATGCGTGAGCTCCTTGCAGGAAGGCCAGCCGCGTGACAAAACAAAAACACAGCGCATGAGCGGCGCCTCGCCGTGGCGCACCTTTCCCGGATATGTGCCCGGCAGGGGTCGCTTGGCAGTGCGCGAGATGGTGCTGATGAATGCCAGCGCTGCTCTGTACGTTGCGGGAAAGGCCATTTCTCTTGATTGGTCATATGGCACCTCTGCCTATCTGCCTCCGTGATGCAAGGTGCCAAACTTCAAGGAGGGCACCGCAGCCGCCAAGGCCGATCATGATAGCTTCGGATCGGACACGACAGGAGTCAGAAGGGCTTGCTGGGAAAGCTTAGCCAAATGACGCAGGCAGCGCTTGAAAATGGTGCAGCTGTGAAGACACTGGATGCTTATGTTGCGGCATCCAAAGGCTCGTCTGCAATGTTTAAGCCTAGCATTCAATACAAGCATATGCTCGACTCTCTGTGAAGTTCCGCAACTCTGCCGGACAGGGTGTCAGCCTAGCATAGCATGGTTACGTTGAACTTATTGGACCGACTGTCACGACCGGTTCGCACAGGCAGCTGAGACAAACAAGCTGGCGTGACATGGTACGGGCCTGTCATCCGAGCAGCTGGCAAATGCCACGACCACACTAACCTGAGATTTTCCTATCGACCATGGCAGATGGATCGCATCTTGCCATGCCTGGAGTCCTGACTCGGAAAATTCATGGCGTTAGCGGCGCCTTGTTCGTTCTGACTTGAATTCGTGATAGACTTTATGTAAATTTATGTCCTTTTGCCTCAGCTTGACTGGGCTTGCTGACCTTCTTTGTGATTGGCCTGCAGCCCCTGCTCCGAAAGCGCATTCTTTGCACTTTGTCCGACATGTGCGGCTCCAGCGTAGAGATGGCTACGAACAAGTGCTGAGTTCGTACAGCTGAAATCAGCTGAACATCTCAGCAGCATCTTCGAAGAGACCAAGCCCGAAGCACACCAAAAAGCAGTCGTCCAAGCCTGTCACATTTTGCACAGCGCTTCCGCCGTGCCTGGCCACGAGCCAAGAGATCCAGTGATCCCTCGTGTCCAGAATTCGAGGAGAGTTTCAGAGACCGCTCTGGCTATCGGCCGAACATCCGAGGCTGCATGCTCCAATCTGCAGCAAGTTTCTTAGCCGCGGCCTTGATTTCGAGAGCCTACACATGAAAGATCCCTTGCTGAAACTTCGAAATGCTGTGATCCTCGCTGATGTGTCGTCCAGTCCAAGCTAGGCTGGGTATGCCTTCCGTGCGCAGTGTGGCTCCTTCCCCTGTGCAGTCACGGCCTGAGACCATTTTTGCAGCGACCCCCGACGGGCGGACGGGCCTCCCAGCGGTGACAAGGCCAGCTGCAAAGGTGCCGCCAACACCCGGCCGTGAGCCCGGCCTGAGTTGACAGGAGGTCAGGGAAACCTCCCAGCTCGAGGAGAAGCGGCTTGTAGGGCTCGTCTTGCCAGGTTCAAGTTGAGCATTGTCGTTCACGGCGCAGCTGTGGAGAAGATTGGAGGGCCCGGGCTGGTGCAGGCACGGCTGCAGATCCTGGATCGCTTCTCCTCGTGCCTCGAGATCCTTGAGTGCAGGATCAGCGGCCATATGTCAGCATACGCATCAACGACAAGCTTAAGGCCGAAGTGAGGCGGTCCGTGCAGAAATCCCATGGGCCTACAGTGTGATACAGGAAACAGAGTTGGGAGACTGGAGCTCTGAAAAGGAGCAGTGGTGTTTCCGAGAGGCCCCGGGCAGATTGCAGTCCCGGCGAAGAGAACTCTCTTGCCTGGAAGGTTATCACCCTTGAGGTAGTGCCCACAGATGAAGTCTTTGTGGCTGCTCTGCTGCATAAGGGAGCAGTTTCGGCTTGTTGGATTCGATGCGCATGGAGGCCTTTACAAACTTGCCTCCCCGCCTTGAGGCCGTTTCCAGCAGCACCAAGTATGATTTCTGGCTGGCCTCAGTGCAGCTGACCAGCACCAAGATCGGCGAGGCAAATGCATGCATGATGGGGCTTACCCAGGGCTGCCTGGCACTCACTGCGTGCTTCCCCAGCTCATGACTTGCAGGCTTGCTTTCCCGTCTTCTCAGTTATTCCACGACTCAGACAGGAGGATGCCCGCACCTGTAGCAAGATTTCGCTGGTCAGGAAGCCTCTCATTTGTTCTGATCCGTTTCCCTGCATATGTGTTCGTTGTGGCAGCCGAAGGACCGTGACGAAGATGGCATGGTCTGGTCCTCTCCCATCATTCCGTTCGATGTAAGGCATCCTGCAGATTGGACTCTTGAACTTTTGTCGACGTGACATCTTGTGACTGCAGAGTTAGCACAAGTTCTGAGCCCTGAGCACTAAGCACCCTGAGTCTTCAAGCTCAATTGGTTTCAGTGGATTTTGGCTTTTTAGCACTGGCCAGGGATGACGGCACAACCACTGCTCGCACCTACCTCTCCTTCGAGACCACACAGGTCAGCCATGAAATGCGACGAAGAAGAGAAATGTTTGTTACTGCCTTGTTTCCAGGCGCCTGGAAACAACCCTCGGAGCCACAAGATTTCCGAAGGATGCTGCCAGATGTCACGCAAGGCCCGGAAGCTCCGAAGATGTGCCTTCTTGCTCTTGTCCCTGCCACCTGGTTGTCAGTGGGATGCCGATGACGACGACGGCCCCTACGACAGCAGCCCGAGCACTCGAGAGAGCGACTAGCTCTTAGAGCCTGCCTCCGAATAGTTTCCGAACCCCAAAGACGGGCTGCAAATGTGAGAATTTGTCCGGCTTGTAAGTGCACGTGCCCTGCGATCCTGCACACACGAGCCCGTGGACTGTGTCTTGCACAGTATATGTGGCTGAGGGTTATTGACTTGTTGATGTGAGGGTTCCCACGCTCTCTGCGCATGTCGCATAGAATTGGCCGTGTGTAGGCTTGATGATTCATGTACAGAGGTTCATCCGGAAGGCAGTGCTACTCTCTGAGGCATTCTGATGGTTTGCATGCACCAGATCACAAGCAACACTATCGAGATCCTGTTTGCACAATAACTTGGTGGCGGATTTGGATTGTTGCCTAGATGGTCCTATTATTTGCAAAGGATACCGGTTTACAGTAGCCTCATGAGCATGGTTTGGCTAACACATGTCGGGTGGTTTCATGTCTGTTTAGGCAGGACATGAAGACGGAGAGTGGCAAAGAATGTGGCTGCCTGTGATATTGAGTACGAACCTGCTTCGCCATGTTTTGCAGACGCGTGGTTCTGCAAGAGTCTGAACCGTGTGCGTGCGCGTTAGGTGTGACGCTTACCTCTGCCTGCACCAAAAGTGGCAACTAGGAACTAGTGAGCGGACACATGCTTTCGATGTCAGACAGCATGCTCGCAATGTATGTCAGTCCCAAAACCGTAGCCATTTTGGCCGCAAGCCGCATGACGTATGCAAACAACAGCATGATGCAGGTTTCCCCCACGCCAAGGTTTTGGTCTCGTGTCCAGTTTGGTCTTGAGTTGTGACAGTTGCCTTTAAGAAGAGGTCTCTGGATCTCCAAGGTTATTTTCAGCTGCCTTTAAACACGACGTGCCGCGGGCAAATAAACCAGTCCCGGCATCTGGTTCAAGGCCAGGCCTGGTTGCAGATCGCGAATGGTGCAGATCGCAACCCCAAGTTTTGGGCAATGCAGTACAAGATCCGTTTGACGCTTGCCGTTGCCCTTCGATCAGATCATGCGGCTGCTTAAAGGCCTAGTAGACAGACTGAATTTGTCAATGTGGTCGTAGCAGGAGCGGGCAGGTGATGCAGGCGACTCAGTTCGCCGACAGCCTGTGTGGAAGAGTGTTGCAGTACATTATTCGGGATTCTCAGCCACGGATTCGAATCTGTCCGACAGCTAGAGCGGCACCTAAGGCATGATGCACACGCCCCCGGCCAGTCTCCCCTCCGCAACATCTACCAAGGCAGGGCAGAGACCTGAGCATGTCGCTAGCATGTGAGAGCTGTGTCGGCTGAGAGCTCACCCATGCGGTCTCGTGTGCTGGCCGCACGTCGTCAACGCATTTTGTAAGAAACACAGCACACATAAGGTTTTTGCCTTGGCGGACTGTCGGCATTGCCATGATGGTGATGTTACAGCTGGAAAGCCCACAGCGGTGCCAACCATGTGGTACACTGTGTTAAGTTTTTGACATGGAGATGAGGCCATAGGACAAGAAGATTGGCCATCATTCGTAATCTCTGTGCGGGCATATTGGTAATCACCGCATCGATAAGGCTTATGGTCACAGTACAAGTGGTCATGGCAAGTTTAGCCAAAGTCGCAACGGTGTTGACCTGCCATGTTGCGGCTACCGCATCAGGGCATAGTCAAGTACAGTACTGAAGAGTCGCAACTTTATTATCTCTGGGCACGGGTAATGTCACCTAAAGATAACACAGCAATGCCCTGTCACAAGCGGCATCAATGTAGCAGAAAGCATGAAAGCATGAACGCTTAGAATCAGTCATAACTACTGGTGCATCTGTATCTGAGCTTATCTCGGTGTCCAGTGTCCATCAGTCTTTCTACACAGGCACCTATACAAGTTATCGCATGGATTCGATGCCTGCTCACGTCCTTGTCAAACCAAGCCAACAGAATAGAGCAACAACATGCCATCATACCATACCACACAGCAGGAGCCATGAATGACATTGAGTACCTACTGAGTGGCAGACGGAACGCCAGAATACATGGGTGCATTCACAAGAAGGCATGGATAGAACATTTAGGGAAGCCTACGGAGCAACAGTACGGCTCGGGAATTTTGTAACAGTGCTTCCGGTGGAAAGTTTCCGGTTCAAGAACGGTTTAGGATTCAAGGCTTTGGGGTTTATCCGATAGCAGCACCATGGAGTAGCATGGCAGGAGACGGACCGAACAACGCACGTGCAGATTATATAACAAACTGGACAGGATACCCTTCTGCCCGAATACTGCAACAGTCGAACGGGCACAATCGAGAGTACATGCATCGTCGCCAAGCCTGAAAGACAGGACCATGTTCTAATTGTAGTGATCTGAAAAGCGGTGGTAGCATGATCAGCTTTTGTAGCACAAGCATCAGGATATGTCGTGCAGACTGGGCGGTCCAACGCAAAGACCAACAAAGGGAGCCAAAGCTGTGGGTTCTCATCGGCAGGCATGGGCAACATAGATCACACACCACATAATCTTCTCACCTTGAAATTTCTCATGTCGCCATGCGATCGTGTGAACAGTTCCTCTACTACATTGCTACATGATATTGCTGCATCATCTCTCATGTCTCGCTTTCCATCATTTCGGCTTCTGCTACATAGGCTTCAGCACTCTTCACATTCGCAGAGTTTCACACAAAACAGATTACCCCGAATTTCGAGAGCCATGGCAACGACTGTTTTATTACTGTCTGTTTCGTGGATCGTACAAGTTGGTGTGCTATTCCAACTCGTTCTATGCTTTGCCATGTCTGCATTATGTTACGATGATGCCAGGTAAGCCATCCCAGCATGTCCACCATCCCTGAACTCTTGCTTTGGCCGCGGCCACGAAGACTGGTTTGGATCGGCATCGTTCAGAAGGTTTACGTGCATGTGGGATTCTAAACTGCCGCTGAATCAACATGCTTTCAAGGGTCGAGCCTTTTGCGACTGGCAGGTTTCAAGACCTTCCGCTGGCAGACAACATACGTGAGCGACTTCTGCGCAGACCTGAAGGACTTAACCTTATTGTCTGCCACATGTTTGTTAGTTGCGGAAGAAGCAGCTGCTTCCGCAAGGACTTGATGCCGTCGGAGCGAAATCCTATGCCCGTGCCGGGAGCAGTGCCTGCCCCAAAAAGCCTCCCGTGACACGCATCAGAAAAGCAAGTGTGCGTCCTGTACTCGCCAGTTGTGAAGTGGATGTAGATTTCATTAATGTTCAGAATACAAGCCACGTCCAGGCAATAGTAGGCTCTTGCACCCACGTCGAGCAACAAGCGATTCCGCTGGATGCCAGACGTTTGCATAGGGCAGGCGAAAACCTTAGACTCGGCGTCGGCAGGTGTGTTGGCTGAAGCTTTGAGAATTCCTCATTTGGGTTTCAGTCGCAGACTCCCGGTCTTAAGACAACCCTCCCACCCTTTTGTTCTCAAGCCGTATAGGCCAGTGAAATCGGTTTGGGGCCCGTGGTGTGCTTCCACCCAGAAGTGTGGCGCAGGGGTTGGGGTTTCGAGAGGAGGAATTGCTGTTGTCTGTGCCTTGTGTGTGAGGCTGATCCGTCCTCCACATCGCGGAACCGAAAGTTTAAGGTGCCCTGCTGGGCAGTGGACATGTGCTGTTTCTTCTAAGCTAAGCTGGACATCAAAAAGACGGCCAGAAGATGTGAAGGGTTTATACTTATACAAAGTTAAGTCACGGGTCCCTTGGATAAGCCTTGAGGCCAAAGTGCCGACGACACCACCGCCCGGAGGGCGTCTGCGTGCACTAGGCGGGGCAGGGTGATCTGCCTGTCGCTGCACTGGAGATGAATCAAGCCTACAGGTGCTGCCTTCTGCCTTTATCCGTTTATCGGAGAGCTGCCCAGGTGGCAACTTGCAGTGCCCTGACGCCCGCATGCAGTTCAAGGACAGCCCATGCATGCTCTCTGTGGGTTGATGCCAGTCTTGGCTTTAAGATCACAAGATGCACAGACCACGCAGTTATCAAATGTATTGGCAGGAGCGGATGTTGCCAGCGGAGCCAACGGAAAGACGCAGTTGGCGCAAGGCGTCTGTCCTTGCTGGGCTCCGTTTCGAGTCTTGTGGCCTAAGCAGACATCTTCAGCATCGTGAACATGTCTTGTTCCATTCGCTACGTACCTCACATTTCAGGAAGCCGGTGCCTCGCCATGTCACAGCGATAATCTCTGCAGTTCAACAGATCCAGCTTGACAGGAGTATGCTTGCGGCGGCCTTCGATCGCCGCGAGCCCGCTACAGCGCAACCAAGGACTGCAACTGTGAAAATCTCAGACGGATTCAGCCATACCATACTGCAGTTTTGGAGACATGTGCATATTTGCGTCCAATGGTAGACTTTTTTTCGTCCTCTCATCTCCATTAGTCTCGTCATCTCCATCTTCATAAGGACTGTAGTGCTGCAGCAATGGTGCTTTTCCTCCCTCGTTTTCCTTCGCTCGCTTCCTTCCTCGTGAGCAGCTGCGTGTACTGTGGCCGCACCAAGCCCTGGGCCCGTAAGCGTGGCAGCGGCTAGGCCCTAGGCACTGGCATCCGCAGTCCTAGCCCTAGCCATTCCGTGATCACGTGGGCATGCGGTGTGTGCAGGACTGGGAGAAGAAGCCTCAGGAAATGATTCTTCGGGGTCCCATTGTACTGGGCGAGATCGGCCACAGACGTTCCAACTCAGTTGGGAGGTGAGAGCACGCCTCGAGCAGCTGGGAGTCCTGGGAATGCCAGAAACCCGCCGAAAACGCGAGAGCACGAGTGAGAACATGAATCTGCATGTCCTGAGCATCGTGTTAAGACGGTGTATTTCCCCCCGAACATCTTATCTGGCTTTGTATTGAATACCACTCTCCCGGCTGCCGGACGAACAGGGTGCACTGGCTGCTCACTCGCAAGGGTGTGTGCGGTCTGGCGTAGGCGCAGTGATGCGCAGTGGTAGGCTCGGGTATGAAAATCCTGCCGGCACGTTTCAATGCACACCAACTTGGCCATGGCGTAGCCCTAAAGACGAGCCAGGTAGATGTGTTATCAGGTCTGCACAAGCATGCAGCTCTTCTCACACTTCGGCCGGCTGATGACCATCCTCGAATACGGTTAGCACGTGGCACCATGCTGAGCATGAGAGCCGCGTTTTTGCGGAGTACAGTCTGGGATTCCGTACTGCAGGCGCCCGATAGCTTTAGAGCTATGGCTGAGGGCGCTTCGTTTCAAGACTGGGCCAAGTGGGTTGGGCGCGTCTGCAAACTAGAATCGGGTTCCAGACTCTAGACTCTTCTCTACGCGAAGGGAGTTGCCCTTCGACAGAGTGCTTTTCAAGAATTTTGGCCTGTGCCGAAACATCTAGGTAAGCCTGCGGCATGAGCAACACTGAGCAACATGACAAGGGCATGTTGCGACAGAGCTACAGCTGGTTCTCACAGTTCACATCTGACATCCCGTGACTTGAATGTCAACATGCCAGACTACGATAGACTACCTCAAGCTGTACCAGATGTTGGGTGACGGTGCTATTTCGCGCTGAGATGATTCACAAACTGAACAGTAGGCAGAGGCTCGAGAGATTTCCAGCCGAAGGCTGGCTTTAGCGGCTTAGCCACAATTTTCAAGACCGCCATGAAATCGTAAAGAAAAGGCACATGTGCGATCCAAATCTCCACAGACTTGTCAAACATGGACGAGGAACCTGCAGGTGTCGCGTCTTTTGCTCCTGCAGGTGCCTGTGCGACCTTTATTGTCTGTCGGAGGCAGCTATTCAGAGTTGGGCAGATCGAAGACTGATGCTGCCATACTAGCTGAGTCAGTATCATGCAATGAGTAGAACACACATACCACGTATAGACTCAGAAAGCAAAGGAGGCATCATAGTACGCTTCTGTCAGCCGCCGGTGGCATGCAGCCTCCGTAGCTGCAGCAGCGATGATCGCAGAGCTGCAGTCGACGCTCTTGGACGCACTCCTGCAGCTCGTTGGTGTGAACAGGCAGCATCCACCGTCTGTTTCTGGGATTCAGCATCATGCGCACCTGCAGCAACTGTGCCAGCCTGCATCATGACCAGGTGCATGCTCAAGGATGCGCCCCGTCGCTTCGACTGGCATTAACGGATACCAAGTTCCCAACTCTGCTTGAGTTCGCACACGGACCCATTGCCTGATGCGCAGCGGTTTTGTAGCTGCCGGTAGCCAGTACCTGGGACCTACGTAGGGTTTCAACCACCTTACACCGCCTCAGCATCTCTGTCGCTGCGATGTGAGAAGGCATTCTTCCGCGTTTCAATACGTTCAACGGGCGTTCCGCACGCAGCTTCCGTCCCGGTGCATTTCGTCTGTGCATTCCTGGAATACCTTTGAGTGCCCACAGGTTTTAGCGATTTTGGTGGTAAACCTAGGACAGAAGCCGGCTTGCATCATCTTACATCAATGCACCTATATTTGGGAAATGGGTGCAGCAACTTGGAAATGCAGCAGTCTGCATGCTGTCGGAGTGGAAATTGCAAATGCACCACCAACGCACCAATGTGCATGATATCGGCGCGTTTGGCTCGACTGCCGAACAACCGCTAACCTCAAGGTGGCCCCGCACACGCCATGCGCAAAAAGCCCTAAACCCTTGCCTCTCTAGGGCAAACCAGCTTCAAGAACTCCACTTTGCTATGGGTTTGAAGCGCAATGTTGCATCTCAACTTGCCTGGGCAGCGCATGGCGTACTTCCGATCAGCAAGATGCAAGTAAGCAGGATAGATTTGGCTGGTGAGTCTTAGTCAGGCAGTTCATAAGCCAAGGTATGTACATGTGCAGGCATATTTAAACAGATACACATCGACCTTTGTGGCGGTTTGACATGGCTTCCTGGGTGGACACTAAGGAAACACAAAGCTGGCCCTGGCCGCAAGTGCTGCGCTGCGGCCTCGGCATGGGGCATTCTGAAACAAGTCCTGAAGACCAGCAATACGTCTGTTTTGTATGGTATACATCTTCATTTATATCAAACGTGGATACGCATGAAGCATCATGAAGCTATATCCGTGTAGTCTTTGTATGTATGTACCTATGTACATGAATTTATATATATATGTGTGTATGTACGTATGTAAGTATGTATGTATGTATGTATGTATGTACGTAGGTAGGTATGTAGGTATGTAGGTATGTGGTATGTAGGTATGTAGGTATGTAGGTATGTAGGTATGTGTGCATGTATGTATGTATGTATGTATGTATGTATGTATGTAGGTATGTGTGCATGTATGTATGTATGTGTGTATGTATGTATGTATGTATGTATGTATGTATGTATGTATGTACTGTATGTCGGTCGGTAGGTAGGTAGGTAGGTAGGTCGGTCGGTAGGTAGGTAGGTGGTATCGAGATGACGTGAGGGATACGGTGAGCAGTACAGAGTCCAGCCGCAATGTGCAAAGACGTACTTATAGAGATGCAGGATCTGCGCGGGCATTCAGGCCACCCACTGCTCCAACTTCGGGTTGCCCAGATTCCCACAGCCGCAGCATCAGACGTGGTTGCTCTTGCACTCCCTGCGAACACTGCCAACTCCATGAGCCATTGTTCTAGTCTTTTGAGTTTCAAAAGTCACTTCGGTTTGCCGGATCCCCACACAGAGGCAGCAGCAGCCGTCTCTTCGAAATTTTAGCTCTGGCTTAGCCTAAAGTATGTTCGAAGCCGCTAGTCCAAATGGCGGAGCCGAGGCTTGGAACATCAGAATATTTACAATAATAGATTGTCCGACTTTGGACCATGGGACCCGGGCAGTTCCAGCATTCTGAGCACGGCTATTCGCACTGCAGATTAATGTCATTGCAGAACGCCTTTCATACCAAGTAGTGCACTCGGTTCCATTGCTCCGTGGTACATAGCTACCTATCCGTTTATCACGTGCAAGTACAAGTATACTCAAAACCCTTATTTCCAAATTAACGAGCCATAGAAGGTATGTAAACGTAAACGCAGCACAATATCCCAACAACAGTTGACATCAGATGCCCGTAAATCCCTGGAGAGGGTCGGGTGTGACGATGATAATGTTGTTGAAAGATAGTGATAGAGAGGGGTCATACATCTACATATATGTACATAATGTGCATGACTGGTAGGTCATGCAAGCTAGCTCTGTGGAGCTGGCGGGAGTTGTCGCTTACCAATTCACTCCAGTAGAAGAGGACCAGGTCTAAACGGCATCTAGGAGCTTATCTGGTGGCCCCTTCCCCCACCACGCAACTTAAATTGATTGATACAGAGGCACTTTTTCTGGCAGCTTTCTGCTTCTTCTGCAAGCGAAATTCGCAGCAGTTGTCAGCATTTAGCAAAGACAGTGGGTTGCCTCGACTTATTTTAGGCAGATTACTGACAAGATGTTCCTGACCCACTAGGAGGCAGAAATCTGGTTGGCAGACACATGCCCAAGATTTGTTTCACCTGTACATGACTATGCCAAGTCGCGCTTTAGTGATTGGCAGTGCTGTGCGGCAACAGACTCGCTTGACTTGTCGCTCCACCCTTTCACTATTATTCTTCCTTCGCCTATCTTCCCCAAGGTTTCGCGGCCCTCTTGTCAAGTTTTGCTTTCACTATAAGACAGCAATGTCAAGAGATACCTTACTCGTTCAAGTATCTTACTTGTACAGAACTGTAGGTGGCATCTGTACGCATGCTCCAGACGCCTTACAAGTATGCGCACAGAGAAGCTTCAGGCTACAGGATAGCTAGAGCATATGCTAGTTTAAACGATTACCAGCCAGCTGGCATGCAGCACTGTCGCAGACGCTCGCTAATTTTGTGGTACGATCTGGAGTTTATAGCAAACACACGAGTGACATACCGACGCTCCTCTGGACTGGAATTTCAAGTTGCGTGGTTTCCTGGTCAACATCGCTGATTTTTGCAAGAGGTCTGTTTCTTGTAGAGAGTTGGTCCTGCGAGTGTAACGGTGCCTTGGGTCTAGGTCGAGTGTGTATGGTACCGTGAAAGCTTGCTGGTTTCCATTTCTGGCTTCAGACTTTTCACTTGCACGTTTGAATTTTCTTGCACGGTTGCCTTGCAGCAATTTGCAGCACAAAGGTGTTGTAATGATGAGTGTTTCTACAGTTTGCTACGCCTTTCGAACCTCGAACTTGCTTGCTTCCGCTTTTTGTTCTGAAATTCCAGTTTTCAGATGTCCAGGATGATATACGATATACGTCTGCTTGTATGTGTATATGCATGTGTGCGTGTGTGTGTGTATATAGATATATAATGTATATTTAGGTGTACACCTCCACGAACAGAAGCCCAGCCGAACAAACGGCATTCGAGACGTCCTGGGCCTACAAGCATTCGGAGTTTTGACGGACCAGGTTGTGCTGTGAGGAAACTCGCAAGATTTTTACAGTGACAAGGATGGTGCTTCTCCTGGCCTCGGTGATGCTGGCGGTGCGCCCTCCCCCTGATTGGGACAATCTGTGGGCTGTTGCTCACAGGACTTTATCTACGAGCGCTCATCGCCATCAACGGCCCCTAGATGTCATGTATCTTGGGCAGGTGATGACTGGGGTCATGCTGCACGCCTTCAGATCTGTGGCCGTGACGTCAGTAGCCCAGCTCGGGTATGGAAGGTGAGTGGGTGCATGTTTTTTCTCAACCTGCGCAGCAAAAACGAGACCGCCGAAGGTCTTCAGGAGTCTTGGCCTCACCGGCAGACGAGTCGGCCTTTCTAGGCCAGCGCTTTCAAGGGACGCAAAAAGGGACAGTGCCAGTTGAGCCAGTCCGGTACATCGAGTGTTTGAGTGCCTCAGAGGCATTGGGGAGGCCGTCGACCTCTGTGGCCTTGTGGATTACCCCAAGCTGCCAGCACAGGACGTTGGATTCTTTTGTTGTGCTCCCTGCTGGGGCCCTTTGCAAGTTCGACACGGTTATGCTGCTGCTTTTCGTTGCACGGCCCTGAGGACCTGCGCCGAATCCAGGATGTCGCTTTCTCCATGGACGGGACGCACGAGGCTTAACATCAGGTGTCTGCGACGATGCACAGGCACAGGATGATGGAGAACATAGGTGATCTGTGCAAAGATCGCATTGGTCATTAAGATACCGGCTTGACTCAGAGGGTTAGAGTATGTTGGACTGCCGGTAGCTCTGCTGGTCTCATGCAAGAAGCAAAAAAGCAAAAGCATCCAGCAAGCTGCTGCCAGCTCAAATCTGCCCTTTCCGCCCGTAGCTGTGGGTCATGCCGCCACGTGTGCAGCCGAAGCGAAAAGCTGCTGCGAAAGCCGCGGCAAAGGCCACCGTGGCCAGATGGAGATGTATCGCAGTAGAGTTGTTGGGCAGGAAGAGCCGGAGGCAGCTGAGGAGCCGGAGGCAGGACAGTGCTTTCAGGCCTTGCGAGGGATTGTGCAGTGCCGCTAAGGAGCCTGAGGCTGAGGAGGAGGAAGATGAAGGTGAAGACGAGGACGAGCCTGAAGAGCCCCCAGCCAAGAAGGTACAGCCCGCTTGCAGCTCGTGTTCTTCACACTTAGATTAGATTTCGTGCTGGCCCCAGGCGAAAGGGCTTCCAACCCGTGGCGCCGTCGTTGCGAAGGTGGGTAGCCACTGTTGCCATCCTTCGGGATCCCCATTGTATGGTGGGCAAAGGCGAAGGCCAAGGCCAAGGCGAAGGCCAAAGCCAAGGCCAAGGCCAAGGCCAAGGCCCAGACGTGTCTGCTCGGGCTTGTTGGGCCCAGCTTCCGGGAAGACACGGAAAGTGCAAGGCTCTTCCTGGCCGCGGTGGCGTGATCAAGGCAGCGACCAAGGCCGCAGCCAAGGCATTCTGCTTTCTTGTGTGCCGTGGTGAGCTCGCCTTCCTTCCAAGCGATCCGAATGTTCAGGCGGTTGCAGCGAAGGAGTTTGCAGCTGTCTCGTCCAAGCTGAAGAAATCCAAGAGCAAGGACGGATAAGGTTCCGAGGTGTGTTAGAGGAAGCACTTCTGCCAATGCGTTGCTGCATTGCAAGCATGGCAGGGCAGCCGTGGTGTGCTTTCGCTTGTGTAGGAGACAGTGGCCGGGGAAGGCAAGTGGTACTATATGAGTGACCTGCGCAAGATGAAGGTTGGCGCAGACGATGCGAAGGCTTTTGGATCTCTGCTGAATCTGAGGCGCTCGCTGCGATTTCATGTGCGATGTGTTGCAGGCCTGGACGGCCTACAACGCGAAGATGAACAAGCAGTTGGAGACGGCGTATAGCAAGGGCTTCAAGCAGTACACCATGACTCTGGGAGACAAGCAATACATCGTCAAGTGCGGGGCCCGGCCACGGCCGAGCTCTGGCTTGTCCCTCTTTCGGCCTCGTTTTAGTCAGGTTCAACACAATGATGCAGTTTCGTGCCGACGACAAGAGCCTCCAAAGACCAGTGAAGCGTGAGTGAGCTGCCGCAGTTGCAGAATTATTTGAGAGACAGATAGGACTTGGCCTCTGCGCCTGCGATGTGCAGTGTTTTGTGATCAGGCTGTTGAGGCCGGGTGCTGCGGGAATCTGCAGCTGCCCGTGTTTGGAAACTATCCGGATGCTAGCATCATCGGTCAGTCGCAGAAATGGGGTCTCGAGCCTTCCGTGCAGACCGTTTGAACTAGTCTGCGAGTGGCGCTTCTGCTCTCAGAATCTCACGACTCAGAAGGGTGCCCGGCTGCAGCAAGCAGGCGCTGCGGTGCTACAACTGAAGCTTCGTTGCCACAGCTCAAGTGCCGTGCCGAGGTTCCATTTCTATCGTGTCGCCAGCATCCATCAGACGAAAGGCGCCGAAGCTCTGAAGAGCTGGACTGCGATTTTCCGAATATGTGTGGTACCTGCAGCTAGCGCCAGCAGTGTGGCTGGACATTGAAGTAGGTACATCAGTCGTAAGTTTGATGGACGGTGGCGGTGACTGCAGCGACACTTTGTGCGACGAATGCGGCTCTTTCCTCACATTTCGGCTCTGAGGCAACACAGAACATAGGTCATAGAGTCATAGGTGCTCAGGCAAGATGTGCGCTCTGAACCGTGTGGAGGCCTTCAATTTGAGCGGACAATGACACGACATGACACAAAGGCTCAAACCAGAGACTGCTCTAGATAATTACCAGGGTTGCAGGTGGGCTGGTGGGGAGCTGCCATGGAGGAGTTTCCATGCAGCAGCGATCTCGTCGCCGTTCAGAAAGGCCAGGTCAAGTCAAGTCTAAGCCGTGATGCTTCCTAGTTCTCCGGCACCAAGCTTGCGACAGGTGCAAACCCTGGGAGCATGAAGAAAGCGCTACCAGGCTGCTTAAGCGTACGCGGCTGTCTCACAGAGTGTTTATCTGCCCAGAGCAACTTCCAAGGTTGGAGCTGCTCAAGCGGCGGGCGGTAAAGATCACGGGGCGGTGCCTTTCCTTGCCTTGCTTAGGGCCCACAAGCGGATAACACTGAGTCATGGCCCAACACACTTCCCGGCAAGAGGCAGAGAGGTGATGAGAGGTGCATGTGCTCGCTTTTCCACCTCCGGTGACAGGTCCCTAGATGGTGGAGTGGCAGCAGAGGTTCAGAGCGTGCCTTGGTCTAGCACAAGATCAGGAAGAGCTTGAGAAACCTGGGATGATTGGGACCCGGAGCATGTTTCGTGCAGTGGCTGCATTTGAGGAGCAAGGCGGGAAAGCCTACACTGTGCGGCTGGGGCGCACGTCAGCCGCTGGAGCAGGGGAGGTGTTCTCCTCTGCCCGATCTTGATTCTTTCTGGCGCCTTTTGTGGTGCTCACAGGTTGAGATCATTTAGCCCCTAGCCGCTAGCCTCATGCATGCAAGTCAAAGGGTTCTAGCTTTATCCCTGTGGGAACCTGGTGAACATGTAGACAATTGACACTGTGCGACTCGGCCATTTGGTGGCCCTGTGCAACATACCTTCCAACCGCAACAAACGACAGGTGGATGCCCGCTGCGGCTGCGTGGACTTCAGAACGCGAGGGGGACTGTGCAAACACGGCGCGGCCGCTGCATTGTTCCTCATCCAAGCAGGCCACGAACTTCCCCAGTTGGCCACTCGGCAAAGTTAGCATCTCGAGAAAGCCAAGTAATCGCATGAACATGCTTCGAGCTGAGTGCTACCAGTGTTGCACCCAAGGCCACCCAAGCCTCCGCGCCCTCGAAGCGGCAGCGATCGGAGCGACCACCGGCAACACCCACACGCAACAAGCTCTTCGAGCCCGGCTCTGTCAGCTCTCCCGAGGAGGCACGACACTCCCCCCGTGAAGCATCTGAACTCGTCCCGGCCTGTCAGGGCTCCTACAGGCTCTTGCTTCCAAAGTGTCGCCCTGCAGGTGGACGAAGCCCTGCCGGCTCTAAAGAGGCTGACTTCTTGACGGTGAGCACGATCGCATCTTAGAGCAACCGTCATGCATTGTAGGTGTCTGTGTGTGCGTGCACAGCAAAGGTGCACAAACTTACATAAAGCCGTGGTCGTCTGCAGAAGTAGAGGCTTCCCTGTGTTGGCTCTTCTGATTCTAACCTGTAACAGCATGCCGTCGTTTACTGCGGCTTTCTCGGAGGTGTTTTCCTTGCGTCTGCTGTATCCTTGGTTGCAGCCTAGACTCCTGTGCGAGAAGATAGAAGCGGGTTCTCATGTCGTTTTTCTGTTCATATCATCGTGTGATCATGTTATGATATCATCCATGTTGACAGCATACCACCTTGCATCAGATCGCAGCTTGCAAGATTAAGCCCCATTCAGTCAAGTCGTCTCCCGTCACACTCGCACGCCGGAATAGAACAGAACGCACAGGATAGATGGCACTGCAACTCAACACAGCATCGGCAACATTCAAGCGTGCGCCGTACTGTACATGGACACCAGTTGGAACATGCTCTGCGTTTTCTCCATGTCGGTTCTCAGCGCATCGCGTAGCATGTCCGGTGTTTTGTGGTTCTGTCTGGAGTCTCAGCTGAAGCTCTTGTTTGGCACATCTCTAATGTGCCAGTCTACACGATCATGTTGGTTTTCCTTGATTTTATGCTAGTGCTTGTGCTCCTGTAAGTATTCAGAATAGGATAAACAGGCAAGACCATTTTATCCTGTCATGCGGAAGGTTACATCGGATTCTCTCACCGTGCACCAGAACACCTCATAGTCTCATTCCTGGAAGGCCGCAGTTTCCCCAGGCAAGGGCAGCAGCCACTGCCGCGGTGAGCCAAATGCAGCGCCACTTGGCCAGTGTAAAGTTTTAAAGGGGCTGTGCAACTACCAGTTACAACCGACGAAGTTTGGCGAGTGCCGAAAGGCCTGGCGCGCGCGCACGCACGCGCACACACACACACACACACACCCACCCACCCACCCACCCACCCACCCACCCACCCACCCAACCCCTTGCGCGCGCGCGCGCACGCGCGCACGCATGCGCACGCGCACGCGCACGCGCACGCGC